CTAGTGAGGTATCCACAACTTCTCATGCTTTGTTAAAAGGGCATATAACTCTTCCAGGTCTAATTTCTTCCTCAGGTCTTTACTCCAGGTCCTCACTTCTTTTCAATGAATGACTCCTTGCACATGTAAAAATTAACATCAAATAAAATTTGTATGCTTTTTCTCTTATTAACCTTTCTTTTGTCAGTTTAATTCACAGATCCCAGTCACAGAAGCTAAAAGAATAGAGGAAGTAATTTTTCTTCCCTACGTCTACCACAGGACATCTTTTGAGACAGACTCAGAAAATTTTCAATTCATGGGAGCCAGACTGAAACTAACTTATAGATTACAACGAAATGAAGGGGAGATTTCATATTTTCTTGTCCTTTTCACTAATCATGACTGACGGCAACTTCTACTCTTCATAATCAATGACTATGTAACCCTTTATCTTCCTTTGGACCATAAAAATTAACCTATGCCTCCCATCTTGCTTACTCCCTATAGACAACTTACATTTTTAATTTTTCCCCCTTTTCTATCTTAGCAATAAATAATAAAACAATGCTCCATTAGATCTTTTCAATAGTTGTAATTATCTCAATCTTACAATTGATTTAGCTAATAAATGTAGATGATGAAAGTATCCTTTTCTGTTTTATGAAAACTGAAACTTAAGAATCTAAAATTCTTACATTTTGAGAATGAATGTCTGCATTCTATAAGCAACTTAAAAATATATGCATTCTAAAAGCTGACTTCTTAACCTTTTAAGTAAAAAAAAAAAAAGAAAAACAACATAATCAAACATGTTTTGAAACACTCCTAAAAAATAAGGAAATAGCCCTTGTAAAGAAGAGAGAAAGACATTTCCAGTGAAATATAATTATAACTTAAAAGTGAAGTATTGCTACCAGGAGTCTTGAAAAAGCAATCTAAAATTATTATAAAGCTATTATTTACAAGTTTGAATCCCAATTGCAAACATGGGGATTATATCTCATTGTAATTTGTTGACAGTATGAAGCTGGAGATTAAATAAAGGTCAATGTCTATAAATAAGAGAAAACAAAGACAGATAGAAAGCAACTTTCATGTAATTCAATATGGTTGCTAATCCAATTTAAATTCCAAATATGCATATCTATGAGATTTGACCAATTAATTACTAAAGGTATCTATTTTAATATTTAAAAGTGATTATCTTGAAAGTTATTTATATTTACTTTATTAAAAATTAAATGTTTTAGATAGAATAGTAGAGAGAAGAATATGACTTGACAAACTTTAACATTATGCTTCATATTTTTAAGAACAAACTTACAGCTATTGTTGAAAATATATAATTCTCTCAATATCATTTCTCTTTCTCTCCTCTTTTATCTCTCCAGAGAAAGCAAGATGTTTATGGTGTATCATTTTTAATGTGCTTAATTTTTAAATTTTGAACTAATTTTAGGCTTACAGAAGAGTCTCAAAAATCAATACAGGGAGTTGCCTTCTATTTTTAACAAAAATGTCTCACATAATTGACTATATACTTATAAAACGTTGTTAAAATCTAAAAGTGTTACTATGTTATTTCAAAAACAATATCTTGTATTCTTTACATACTTTTCAATATCACATCAACACTTTATATAATTTGACAACACTTTTATTGTGTTACACCATTATTTCTAATCAAATTGTGTTTAAGATAACTATGTAAACTGATGTACACTAGTACTTTTTAAAAAGTACTGCATAATATACCATTATTCTCTCTAAATTGTGAATTGCTGGGTGAAAGTATTTGTACCATTTCAAAATTTTTAAATATTACAAATAGCTTTTCAGAGTACTTGTATAAAACTGTCATTTTCATCAATAATGCATGAAAGTCTGGTTTCTCCTCATTACAAAAGTTTTAAAAACTTTTGCTGAATTATGGGTGTAAAATCTCATTGTTTCATTATAAATTTTCCTTATGATTGGAGAGATTGACTATATTTTAGTATAATTATGATTCTTTTCTGTCTCCTAGGATAACTTGTATATTTTTATTTTCATCTCTGTAGTGGTACGTTATAAACTTCAGTTGTAACCCTGTGTTGCTTTTAAGGATTAGAACTATACACCACTAGTGTTTTGTTTTGTCTTTTAAATTTCTTCGTAGATTCTGCTGTAAACAGTTTTCAATTACCATGAGATAAAATATACCAAACGTATACTTCCTGATTTGTTTTTGTATATAATTTGTGAAATTTGTTCTTACCCTGAATTTACAAAAATATTATATATTCTTTGATATTAAAAAGCTGATATTTACATTATTAAAATACTTCAAATTTATTTTTGAATAGATTTTTTAGTTGGAGATAACATTTTGTTGCATTTTTTGCATATAAATTTTTCTAGCATAATTCATTAAATGTTCATTATTTTTTAATTTACTTATAATGCCAGTTTGGCAATGTATAACCAGTTTACATACAAGTTATATATATGTATAAATCTGCTTCTGAGCCCTCTGTTTTTTATCATCTAACTTTCTTATATAAAAAGTAGCTGATTTTATAATTATTAATGACAAACAAGTTTTTAAATCAACTAAAAATTTATTTAATTAGGAATAAAGTTACAATCACATTTGTCTACAACCACAGTAAGTAAGTACACGAATATTGTCAGGTTTCTTGCTGTGGTTCCTGATGGTCAGTAGAAGGCTCATTTGAAGTGAGAGTCAACCCTGATGGGGACTCAAGATCAGTCAAAATTGCTTTAGGGAAGAAAACAAATACTGTTAGCTTTCTTGCTGTGGTTCCAGATGTTTAGTAGCAGGCTTATCTAAAGGCAGAGTCAACCCTGATGGGGACTCAAGATCAATCACACTATTTTGGAGGAGAACACAAACACTGTCAGCTTTCTTGCTGTGGTCCTAGATGTTCAGTAGTAGGCTCACTTGAAGGCCGAGTCAACCCTGATGTGGACTCAAGATCAGTCACAACTACTTTGGAGAACACGAATAGTGTCAGCTTTCTTGCTGTGGTGCCAGATGTTCAGTGGCAAGCTCACTTGAAGGTGGAGTCAACCCTGATGGGGCCTCGAGATCAGTCACAACTACTTTGGAGGAGAACACAAATACTATCAGCTTTCTTGCTGTGGTCCCGATGTTCAGTAGTAGGCTCACTTGAAGTCCGAGTCAACCCTGATGTGGACTCAAAATCAGTCACAACTGCTTTGGAGGAGAACACAAATAGTGTCAGCTTTCTTGCTGTGGTGCCAATGTTCAGTGGCAGGCTAAGGTGAAGGCAGAGGCAACCCTGATATAGTCTCAAGATCAGTCACAACTATTTCAGAGGTGAAGACAAATACTGTCAGCTTTCTTGCTGTAGTGCCAGGTATTCAGTGGCAGGCTCACTTGAAGGCTGAGTCAACCCTGATGGGGACTCGAGATCAGTCACAACTACTTTGGAGGAGAACACAAATAGTGTCAGCTTTCTTGCTGTGGTGCCAGATGTTCAGTGGCAGGCTCACTTGAAGGCTGAATCAACCCTGAAGGGGACTCAAAATCAGTCACAACTATTTTGGAGGAGAACACAAATACTGTCATCTTTCTTCCTGTGGTGCCAGATATTCAGTGGCAGGCTCACTTGAAGGTTGAGTCAACCCTGATGGGGACTCAAGATCAGTCACAACTACTTTAAAAGGGAACACAAATACTGTCAGCTTTCTTGCTGTGGTGCCAATGTTCAGTGGCAGGCTAAGGGGAAGGCAGAGTCAACCCTGATGGGGACTCAAGATCAGTCACACCTATTTTGGAGGAGAACACAAATACTGTCAGGTTTTTTGTTGTGGTGCTGGATATGCAGTAGCAGGCTCAGTTAAAGGTGGAGTCAAACCTTATGGGGACTTGAGAACAGTTAAAATTATGTTGGAGAAGGACACAAATATTGTCAGCTTTCTTGTTGTGGTGCTGGATGTTCAGTGGGAGGCCCAGTAGAAACCAGAGACAACCCTGACGGAGACTCAAGATCAGTCACAGAGACTTCAGTGGAGAACACAAATACTGTCAGCTTCCTTGCTATGGCGCTGGATGTTCAGTGGCAGGCTCACTTGAAGGCAGAGTCAACCCTGACTGGAACTTGAGATCAGTCACAACAGCTTTGGAGGAGAACACAAACAGTGTCAGCTTTCTTGCTGTGCTGCCAATATTTGGTGGCGGGCTCACTTGAAGCCTGAGTCAACCCTGACAGGGACTCAAGATCAGTCACAACTAATTTGGAGTAGACCACAAATATTGTCAGCTTTCTTGCTGTGGTGCTGGATGTTCAGTGGCAGGCACACTTTAAGTGGAGTCAACCTTGACGGGGACTCAAGATCAGTCACAACTACTTCTGAGGAGAATACAAATACTGTCAGCGTTCTTGCTGTGGTGCTGGTTACTCAGTGGCAGGCTCACTTGAAGGCTGAGTCAACCCGGATGGGGACTGGAGATCAGTCACAACTACTTCAGAGGAGAACACAAATATTGTTAGGTTTCTTGTTGTGGTCCCAGATGTTCAATAGCAGGCTCAGTTGAAGGTGGAGTCAACCTTGACAGGGACTGGAGATCAGTCAAAATTATGCTGGAGGAGAACATAAATACTGTCAGCTTTCCTGCTCTGGTGCCAGATGTTCAGTGGCAGGCTCACTAGAAGGTGGAGTCAACCCTGATGGGGACTCAATATTAGTCCCAACCTCTTTGTAGGAGAACACAAATACTGTCAGCTTTCTGGTTGTGGTGCCAGATGTTCAGTGGCAGGATCACTTCAAGGCAGAGTCAACCCGGAAGGGGACTCAAGATCAGTCTAAATTACTTTGGAAGAGAATCAAGTACTGTCAGGATTTTTGCTGTCATGTTGGATGTTCATTAGCAGGCTCGTTTGAAGGCGGAATCAATTCTGAGGAAAGTGGAGATCAATCTGAATTATTTTTGTTCAGTTGCAGGGTCATTAGAAGATGGAATCAACCCTGCAGGGATCTCACTTCTCCCTTCAGTACTTGGGGGTAGGAAGGAAAAATCCAGGTCTTGGTGGAAGGTAAGGAGGAAATGGCCTGGGTGGATAGGCATTCCTCATTGCAAACGGAGCATATGGTGGACCTGCAAAATTTCTTGGTGGAAAATCATGTGGAGAAACTCCCAACCCAATTCCTGGAGGAGGTGGGGGGCAAGGAGGCCCTCTTCTCATATCAGTAACATGTGGGTAATGCTTTCTGCCAAATCCTGTATTTGGAACATCACGTGCAGAAGGATCTTTGTGTAAAAATTTGAATTTAAACTCCATTTCAGTTAATTTTTGTCTCCTGTGAGCATTTTCTTTCTTGATATCATTGAGGATTCCTTCAGCAGTCTGAGCTGCCAACCAGTTGTCATCTTCTTTTTTCTTATAGGAAATCATCTGCCCTCGATAAGACAGAATCATTCTTTCCAACTTTTCTTCAAGATCTTCGGCTTGCTTTCTATAGTTCTCCATCTGGTCAGTGGTATAGTTGATCTTTCTGTCTACTTTAGAAAGCTTCTCTTCATTCTCTGACTGGTAATTTTCCTCTACAATTAATTTTTTGTAAAGCCTCATTGCAGTTTCTTCATGTAATTCAGTCATTACTTTAAGTTGCTGTTGAAGCTTCTGATTCTCACTTTCAAAATGTGTGTTTTCTGACTGTAAAGATGCTTGTTCAGACTGAAAATGTTCAATATGGTCTCTAAGATCTTTCTTTGTTTTATTAATTTTGGACATCTGAATATAAATTTGGTTTCTTTCTTCTTCTAAAGTTGTTAAAGAAGTACGTAACTTAGCAGCATGAATCAGTTTCTTCAAAGCTCCTTTTGGAGTATCATCTAAGTAGACACCATTTTCCAATCCATTGTTCATTTCCAATTTCAAGTTACAATCATCTGTTCTGTCTTCTCCAAGCATAGCAGCCCAATCTTTTATCTTCAGCAAGTGTTCAGTCAGAGTCTTGATGTGATCATCTTTATCAATTAGAATTTGTTCTGTGTGCACTTTGGAGTCTTCAAATGATATTTTCTGTTGATTAAGTTCACTCACGTGTTCTTTCCATACTGCAGCTTCTTGCAAAAGCTGTTTATGGCTTTCCTGAAGTTGGGAATTTTCATTCAAAGCATCTTTTATTACTGTCTTCAGTTGTTCTCCATTCATTTGAAATACGCTGAAAGTCATTTTGGCTTCAGCTATTTGTAATTTGAGGGATGTTGAGTGATCTTCTAGTGAGTGTATCATTTTTGAAATATCCGCCATCAAATTATCTCGTCCAGTATGTTTAGATCTCTCTTCCTTTAACTCTTTTTGTAGATAGAATATTTCATCCTCAATTTCAGAAATGGATCTGTTAAGCTTTTTACAGGTTGCCTGCAAACTTTGTGCTTCTGCTGCCTCCTTCTCAAAGCTGTTATCCTCTAAAGATGACTCTAATTCATAGTCTTCATACTCTTTTTGAACACGCCCAGATTTTTCAAGCAGTTTACATTTTTTTTCAATTAGTTCACAAAGCACTACAGCAAGCTTTTTCTCTCTTCCCACATAAAGCCAACTCCTAACTGATCTGATACGTCTCCACAAAAAAAGGGGAATAGCAAAAAATCCAATAACACCTGCCCATATTACTAATTCCCATGGAAAACCATTAGAATTTGATGCCATACTTTTTAGCAGTGCTGACCCAGTCCTGGGTAGCTCTTCCAAGACAAGGCCCAGGTACAACTGAGGGGTAGCTCTGGGCTCCTCCACAGCACCAAGGCTGTTTTGGTGGTGGTCACCGCAGTAACTCCAGCCTGTTGGGATCACAATAAGAACCTGGAACACATAGCCTTCAGTTTGGAACTGGAGCAGACCACTGCGGAGCCGGCTGCAGGGGGAGCTGGGGGACCCAGGAGGTGGGGAGCACTGGAGAACAGGTAGCCTTCAGCCTGGAACCTGAATCCATACACGGCAACCAGAGAAGACCACCGTGGAGTCAGCTGCGGGGGGAGCTGGGGAATGTGGTCACCCACAGGCCTCACAGGCCCACGCTGCCCACCCTGACCCCCTTGTTACACTTTACATCCTGAGGCAGTGCAGGTCCCGGCCAGACCCCCATTTAACTGTTTTATATTGGCAATATCACATTGTGTTAATTACTTTAGCTTGTTAATAATAAAAACCTTCGTCAAGGAGAGACTGCAAATTTGTATTTCTTCAAAATTGCCTTGGCCATTATTGACACTTTGCTCTTCTATGTGAATTCTACTATCAACATATAAAGTTCCATTAAAAAAAATCATTTTAGCTGTTTTTTGTTTGTTTTAGAAACAGGGTCTTACTCTGTCACCCAGGCTAGAGTGCAGTAGTGCAATCATGGCTCACTACAGCCTCAAAACCCTGGACTCAAGAGATCCTCCCACCTCAGCCTTCCAAGTAGCTAGGACTACAGTTGTGTGTCACCACACAGACATTTTGGCATTTTGAATTGCATTATATTTACAGATATTTTGGGACAAATTTCCATAGCCATTGAAATTGACTTTTTGCATCATGAAAGTAACATTATCTCCCTTTAAGATTATCTTTTATGTCTTTCACAAACATTTTGTAATTTTCTGTTAATGTTTTGCTGTTTTGTGCACACCTTGTTTTTATTACTAGTTTAAGAGTAGCTTTTTAAAAATCATATTCTCTCTTTATTATTATTATTATTATTATTATCATTATTTTGGACAGAGTCTTGCTTCGCCACCCAGGCTGGAGTATGGTGGTGCTATCTTGGCTCACTGCAACTGCAGCCTGTGGCTCCCAGTTTAACTGATTCTCATGTCTCAGCCTCCTGAGTAGCTGGGATTACAGGCATGCACCAACATGCCTGGCTAATTTTTGTATTTTTAGTAAAGACAGGGTTTTCCCATTTTGGCCAGGCTGGTCTCAAACTCCTGGCCTCAAGTGATCCATCCACCTCAGCTCCCCAGAGTGCCAGGGTTACAGGTGTGAGCCACCACTCTCAGCCTAATCACATTTCTTAATTGGTCATTGAATGTAGAAACACCATTTGAATTAATATTAAGCAATGTTTGCTTTTTAAAAAAAATATCTATGACATGTTTTGTTAAAACAAAACATCAGAATGCATCTTACAAAATAAGCATATTGTTTGATAAAACTGAAACAACAATTACAATGTAAAATGTAAAATTCATTATCTTGAATTACAGGCATTTGAAGCCCACTATTCTAAGTTTGAAACTGTTACGTTTCTTAAGCCGTTACTTTAGACTTTTTTCTATTAGTGAGAATATATAGATATACTGTTACTGCCTTTATATTTCTAAAACGATCATCATTTCCCTCCATCCTTAATAATTCAGTCAGTTATAGAATTATATATTTCTTTAGTAATCTGAAGAGTTTACTCTTGTTGCTGATGAGGAGTCTAATTAAATACCATTGTCTTCCCTTTGTAGATAGTGACTACTACTTCTGGTAGCATCTTAAGGTTTTCCCTTTTTCATGAGGCTCTGCAGTTTTACTTTGGTAGCTGACTTAATCTTGCTGTTATCAACACTTACAGCTAATTTCCCATCTAGAGGCATTTCTTTCTTCATTTCTAGTAAACTGCCATTATCACTTTGAGTGTTACTTTTCCACCATCTTTCTCTTTTTGGCCATTTGTCAACATTTATTAGCTAAAATCCTATGAAATCTATTAGTTTATTTTCCAACTTTCACAAGTGTTGTCATGTTTTTTATATCTTATTGTCTCTAACTTATTAATTTCTTATTAATGAATTAGCATCATATTTATGCATTCTCACTTTCATAATTTTAATATTACGAAGTGAGATTTCTTTTTAATTTTAATTATATTGACCATATTTGTCATTTCCAAGATATTTAATTGTTTTAATTTTAATACATTTTTTTCTTACATATGTAATTTTGGCTTCTTGGAAGTTTCTATTTCTTGTTCTTTTCCATTTTTTTCCCCATTTGGCTCTTTGATAAACCTAAAGTAAATATTGTTCAGATTCTTCTTTCATTTTCATTTTCATTCATCTTCTGCTTGGTGGGGATTTTTAAGCTGCCTTTTTTAAGAATCCATGTGCTGTGGAAATTGAATTTTCACATTTTAAGGGGTGATTTTTTAACCTCTTTTTCAGTACTCACTTCTCTCTGCTGGGTGGTTTGGTAGTGGACTTCACTGAACCTCTGCTCCTTAAACTGCAGCCTTCTCTTTCATAATTCATTTGAATTTTTGCTCCACGGAGCATATGAGAGCTTGCAGTCAATAACTTGCAAGGAACTCGCTCAGAGCTGATCATGTGGCTGTCTCTGTGGTCTCTAAGCTTTTAGTCATAGTCACTTTCTACAAGTCATTAGCCTAGCAGCAGATGGCCCAGCTTTACTTCAGCCTAGTTTCCCTGTGGGGCAGCTTTCCCCAGTCCTTGGGGAAGGGCCTGAGTAAGTTCTCTTTAGGCCCCATCTCTCTGTAGCATCTAAGTAGCCGGGAGTAGAATTGTTTCTGTCATTTTCTCTACTTTTTATTTCTGTTCTGTTTATCACTCAAAGAAAAGTCCATCGTGGTTTTTTGAGATTAGCTATCTCTATTTAATTTTCATTTTAAAATATATTTGATAAATCATTACTGTGGTTTTAAAGTCAGAGATGGCCTGAAAGTGTAGATTTTTAATAGGGTCTTGGACAGAGATCTTCACTCTTCATAGGAAAAATGAACTATTGTATTTTGCCCTTTTTATACTGTGAATTTCCAAAGGCTAGAAGGAAGACATTTTCATCCTTATTCACCCACACCTAATAATCTATGACATACTGTAAGCACTTAATAAATATTAATTGTATTTAATGGCTCTTGTCATCTTTTAAACCTGAAGCCAAAAAGTTCATTTGAGAAGTTAAAGAAGAAAGCCTTTATCCTACCCATTTCGGATATTCAGCCATATGAAGGATGAAAGTCTGTGAAGCTGAGAACTCTCTGATATTTTTAATACTTAAATTTTCATGAATCTACTTCTGGCTAACTACTTAGAGATGTAACAAAAGGACATATAGTTTTCCAAATTTAATAAAATGGAATACCAAGACAGAAACACATTTTACGTCTTACTTATATTTATTTACATGTGCCAATAACTGGGTTTTTTGAGGGTTTTTGTTTTGTTTTGTTTTGTCTGTTTTCTTTTTTGGCCTGGCAAGTTAAAGTATACATTCACCTAAAAAACTTTCAGAGAGAATTGTAATGATTAAACAACTGGCAACTTCTTGGCAAGACATGGGTTTGGTAGGGAGGAAGAAAGGTTCACATAAATTGTCAATGCAGGTTAATCTTACTTTTTAAGATTTAGTCAGATCAGACCTCAATGCACTACATTATATCTTTAATTATTGTAATTATTTCTGATTGTTTAACTACCCTAATTCATATGCTAAAAATAATTTAAGACAAAGATTATTATCTTCAATCAGTGGTTGCCAACCCCTGAGCCACAGACCAGTACTTGTCCTTGGCCTGTTAAGAACCAGGAGGCACAGCAGGAGGTGAGTAGCAGGTGACTCAGCACTATCACCTGAGCTCCACCTCCTGTCAGAGCAGCAATAGCGTTAGAGTCTCAGGAACCTAAACCCTCTTGTAAACTGTGCTTATGAGGGATCTAGGGCGTGTGCTCCTTTTGAGAATCTAACTAATGCCTGATGATCTGAGGCAGAACAGTTTTATCCCAAAACCATCCCCTGCCTTCATCCATGAAAAAATTATACTCTATCAAACTGGTTCTTGTTTAAAAGGTTGAGGACTGCTGCCCTAAATAATCCACAAGTGTGTCACAAATAAGGTAATATAATTTTGTATTAAAATAATGCTTATTTATATATATTTTTAGATAGCTTTTCTCATAAAATTTTCACCAAAAAAATGTATGGATTGATTTTTCTTCTTGTAGGCGAGGAAATAAACAGTAGCACAGAGGAAGCAAACAGCAAACTGTGATATGAACCCAAGGTTGACCGATGTTTCAAACTCCTGGCCATCATGGTTCACTTCCTTACCTATGTTTCAACACTTCTCTACAGTCAGTAAAGTGTTATTGATTCTACTGGCTTTGATTTTGGATGAGAGGATTAGAATGATTTGGTTGTGTATAGCTTTAATTAAAATGTTTTCAGTCGGCCGGGCGCGGTGGCTCACGCCTATAATCCCAGCACTTTGGGAGGCCGAGGCGGGTGGATCACGAGGTCAAGAGATCGAGACCATCCTGGTCAACAAGGTGAAACCTCGTCTCTACTAAAAATACAAAAATCAGCTGGGCATGATGGTGCGTGCCTGTAGTCCCAGCTACTCGGGAGGCTGAGGCAGGAGAATTGCTTGAACCCAGGAGGCGGAGGTTGCGGTGAGCCGAGATCGCGCCATTNAAAAAAAAAAAAAAAAAAAAAAAAAAAAAAAAAAAAAAAAAAAAAAAAAAAAAAAAAAAAAAAAAAAAAAAAAAAAAAATGTTTTCAGTTTAATTTACTACAGTTGAAACAGGATCTATAATATGACAAAATTTTCTAGGGCATCTTTGCCTTCAAACATGGCCCTCACAATGCTTACACTTTGTCAAACCTAAACATAACACAGAGTGATCTCATGAAACATAAATCTTACTTTTCGTATTCTCTTATATTAAAGTATATACATATATTCATTACAACATTCTCTTATTTTCTTTTATCATCTTATCTTGGATATTTGTACACCAATG